TGAGTCTTCTAATCTTGAAGTTCTTTGAATCTAAAGCATCATCAAAATTTCCAGGCATCATATCCTTGTATATTCAACCATTATAACTAAATTAAATTACTAAATAAAAATATATTTAATCCGTAAATATTTGATATTTTTAATTAAATGGATAATTAATTTATTATTATAAAATAATTTTAAATTAACTATTTACTGTCATAATAAATAAATTTATATATTATCATCATAGTTTAAAATAATTATTTGATAATATTTTAGTTTTAATGTTGATTTTAGAAAAATAACTTTAAGAGTATAATAATTTTAGTTAAAAGAATAAATGAGAGGGGATAGAACAAAATAAGTGACATGACTTAAAAAAAAAAAGAATGAATGAAAAAAGAATTTACAAGAATAAACATTATACGTGAATTATATATGTATTGGGATAAATAAATTGACATAAATTTTATTTAAGTAATTTAAAAAAGTAATTCAAAAGTAATTTTTTATTATTCATGGAAATAAAAGCATAACTGGTTTAATATATGTTCCTCAGTGACAGTGGTATTCCCTTTTCTTTTCTTTTTTAACTACTCTAGTTTTCTTGGAGATTTGTATGGTTGTATTTAGTTGAATTTTGTTGGCATATGTGAGTTGGTTTCTTTCATTTACACGAGTTTGTCTGTTTTCACTTATTTTAGGCACACTTGTCTCTATCTTCCATGTCTTGTTCAATGAACTTCCCAATGTAACAATAAATGTGTGGACCCAAGAGCAGATAAAGTTACAGCAACACATTTCCCTGTTCTCAAAATATAGATTCAATTTTAGAGGTTTTGTTCGGTTGAAATGATGAAAATTTGGAGTAAGTGTGAAGATTTGTGTAGTATTTAATTGGGTGCATTTAATTGCATGAGTTTTGATTTATTAAAGTTGTGAGTTTGGGAAGATGGAGGATGTTTAGGTCTACAAATGGGATTGTAGGTTTCAGAAATTCAGAATTGGAAGGCTGAAAAACAGCTGTATGTGGTACACAGTTTGTAGTGTCGTTTACAGCACACGCATTTCTCTCTCATAAATGCGCCTTTCGGACCACATTCTTTTCTTTTCTACTTTATGTTTTCTCTTTTTCTCCTCACTTTACACATTCATATTTGTAATTCCCTTCTCTATACAATTTAGACATGTTATTTTTATTATTATTTTATCAAATTTAAAATTTCACTTTTCAAATATATATTATTATTATTATTATTATATTTTTCAAGTTTTCAAAAAATATATATATATATATATAAAATATTATTAAATTATTAAAAATAATTCATATTGAAAGACGATATAAAATATGAGGTTAATTTATATAAAATTAACATTATTTTCAATAAAAAAATTTGACTTATAAATTTATATATTACTCAACTTTTTCATTCTTATTTAATATGAAACTTAAATTTATATTTAAATTCTCCAACACATATTTTTATATATATATATAAGAAACTCTTAGATTGATTATACTTCTTTAAATGAAGTTTAGTTATGAAACTTTTTACTTATTTCTAATCATACAAGTTTTTAGGAATGTGTTGTTTAAATAAAAATATCTAAGGTTATTTGAAAAAAAAAGTTATTTCACCTCTTAAATACTCATGATAAATTTAAATGATGAACTTAACTTTGTTATTTTTATTTTTTTGAAGTAAACTTTTTCTTTTAGATACTTATATTTTGTCTACAAATTTTAATATGTATCATGACAAGCTCATGTGGAAAATCCTTGGAGAGAAAATGCATAGTAAAAGCTATAGATAAATAAATTATTGAATTTATTTAAGTGATTAGAAAGTTTAAGATATTCATAAATGAGATTACAAGTCAACTATATAAAAGAATACGATACTACATTTGATCTAAAAATTTAAAACATTAGGATTGTAGATCTTTCTTTCGCTTATATATTACTCAACTTTGTAATTTTTACTCAATATGATTTCAATTCGTATTTAGATACCAACAATAATTATAAACTATTGGTACTATTTATGTCTTCAATTGTCTAAAAAAATTCTTTAGTAGTTTTCACCATTTAACCTAAATTTTAATTCACTTTAAACAACTCACTAATTTAACCGTTCTAATTTGTCTCCTTAGTTAAACTCAATTTTTGTAATAAGTTTAATGTAAACTTATTTATTAATACAATCAAACTTACTTTTGAGTTGAAAGATCAATCTTTGTTAAATTTTAATTTTAATCATTTTAATTTAATATTGACTCAAGTATTTAATAGACTCAAATTTCAAATTAGTTAAACCATCAAAATGTCTTTATAATAACGAAGAATGTATCACAATTTATTAAAAAAAGTTATAATAAAAATTTAAATTAGTTGCATTTAAAGTTTGGACAACAAGTGGTTCATCAAGTTCTTTTGCTTTAAATTTTAAATTATAATATTAAAAAACTTGTAATTTGTATGGCACATTACCAAATAACTCTTTTCAAAACTCATTTGAAATGTAGGTGGTGATAGAACTAAAACAAGAAAATACCTTAATTAACATTTTTGTAGAGATTTATATTATTAAAGGTCAGAACTCATTTATTCTTTTGATCTATCATGCTCTAAATATGTAATGAAAGGGGTGCACATTTATAAAGAGAAATCATCCTAAAAGAAAAATGCACACTTTGTTAGTTTTTAAATTTTTATTCTTTATTACAAACTGGGAATTCATCACTTAGTTTATTATATTTGTTTGAAATATAATATCAATTGAGATATTATTTTTAAAATATGATTTATAATTAGGATTTTAAATTGTATATTAATCATATTTATTCTTTGTTTTTCATATTAAAAAAATATTATTTAATCACATTATTTTAAGATCAAAGAATAATAAAATTTTAAAATAAAATAACCAAATTTTCAAAAAGACAATATATATATATAACAATATTTTATTTTGTATTATTATTTGTTTGATAAGATGAAATTATTTTAGATTAATATATTAAAAAAATTAATAATAAATCTTACATTTTTAATTTAAAAAATATTAGTATTTATTTTTTATTTATAATATTAAATTAATAAAAAATAATTATAATCACTAATATGTTTTTTTTTTGTAAGTTCTATAGAAGAGTATGAATTAGGATTATAAATTAATAACTTTTTTGTTTTTGTCGTATTTGTTTGATAAGGGAGTAAATAATATTAAATTTAAAGCAGACCGAAATTCCTTTGTATGAAATCTAAGTTGCTCTGCACCCGAACATTGGATTGGTTCCCATTCAAAAGGAACCGCATCTGCCATAATCGCCACCCCTCTCCTCTTTCTTTTTCGGAAAATGAATCAAAATTCACTGTTCAACCAAATTGTTATTCATATTTTCCTTTTTATATTTGATTGTATGAAAAATATATTAAATTTAATATAAATAATTTATTTTTTTAAGTTAAATTTACTTTTTAATTAATTAAGATTTTATTTTAAATGATAATTATTTTTTGCTTTTAATGAAAATATTTTAAAAATGTAGTTTAATCATATTTTATGAATTAAATTTATTAAATGTTTTTAAATTAATTATAAAATAATTATTTTTTATATATGAATTGAGAAGAAAAGTCTTATATTTTACTTTATTTATGTATTTATTTTATTATTATTATGATACTAATTATCTTGTGTTTGTAGGAATTTTTTTAAAATAAATTAATATTTTAAATTTTATTGACATCAATATTTTATCCTCCATTAATGAATCATATTATATATATATATATATATATATATATATATATATATAAATTGTAATTAATACAATTAAGACAATATATTTATACTTTATGATAGTTATATTTAAAATAATGTTTTAGTTTTTTTTTTAATTCTCATTATTAATCTAGTATCATGAACCATGATATTATTAATTGAAAGGCTATTAATTTTGATCTAGTGAAAGATTAAATAAACAAATAATTAATTAATTATATTAAGTCTTATATATTTTTTATATTGAATAGAGTTTGAGGAAAAAACTAGTTTCAACTTTTTGAACTAAGAGGTACAATTGAGAACATTAAATATATTTTTGATGTTCATAACAATTACTCAAAGAATTGTTAGATAAATATTTGTTATGTAATTAAATATTGATCAATTAAAATTGTACTATAAAAATAAATAACAATTGTAATAAAAAAATGTTAGTAGTGCATTTCTCACTGTCATCTTTTAATAGTTCTTATTAATTAGTAAAAATGATTATAATTTTCAATTCTTATTCAATCCCATGATTTCTTTTCTTAACTTTATTATGGGGTTACTTAACAGTTCCATAATTTTTAATAAATTGTAATTAATAATAAAAAATATGTTTAACTAATAAAAAGTATTATATATTCCATAAAATAATATCAATTCTTACATTACTTTTGAAAAGAAAAACAAAATATTGTTGTTTCATCTATTTTATTTTATTGGTAAAAAGTATGAAGAAAATTTTGGAGGAAAACAAAAATGCTAAGTAATAATAAGTAATTTTATTACAATAAAATTAAATTTTTAATCTCAATGAAATAATGAGCACATAAGAAAGAAAGAGAACCACATTGCATTGTCATTTGGCATAGAGCAGAGAAAACCCTCCCTGTCTCTCTCTCTCTCTCACTCCTCCAACCATTCTGAATGTGAGCAAGGTAAATCAACCCTCTAATTTCTTTTCTTCTCTTTGTTTTCCAAGAAACACATAAAAATCTCACCCACACACCAAAATTACAAATATTTACTTTTAATTTTTTTTTTGGAGAAAAATTCAGGCCACATAAACCTTGTTTTCTGCCGGATTCGAAGGTTGTCGCTGCGATTCTGGTTGTCGTTTCCTTTAAGAATTTGTTCCTCGAGACCGTGTTTGGTGACGTGTAATATCCTCTTTTTGTGCAGTTGTTGTTGAAGGGTATAGTGTAGAGTGGTGTGTTTTGTTCTTTTTGGAAGTGCAAAATGAATGATGGTAGACAGATGGGGATGCATTATGTAGACGCAGGGTTCCCTTATGCTGTTAATGAAAACTTCGTGGATTTCTTTCAAGGATTCACTCATGTGCCAGTCAATTATGCCTTTGCTGGCTCAATGCCTGATCAGGTTTTTCTTTCTTCTTGTCATTTATATATATATATATATATATAATTTTGGGCAAAATATGTTTTTTCATTCCTCAAAATTCAGTTTTATACTATTTGTGGTTGAAGTTTCTTGTCAGCAATTGGCTACAGAGACTGCATGTGGTTTCGATCCTTGACATGGTGAAATTGCGGCCAAATGTGGCTTGAACTGGTTGCATGCAGTTAGAGTCCTCCACAACTTCTTGTTGGGGCTGTAATCGTGGTCACTGATCTTCTTTTTAAAGCAATAAATTTCAGTACTAAAAACGTGTGTTTCTTTTAGACTAGAGGGATTAAGAATGTATTAAGTTTTTTATGGGGACCAAAACCGAATTTCGAGATATCTCGATGGACCAGACACATGTTATACCCTTTATTCTTATATTTATGTTGTTTTCGTGTTTCAAAACTTGCTCGATGATCTAATGGTTTTGGTGACAAAGTTTTAGAATCGTCCTATCCATGGATTGTAAATGTGGGTTGTTGCATGTGTTTATTTAGTTTTATTCTAAATTGAATTTTTACTTACTCGAAAATACGGGAGTAAAGGCAGAAATTTCAGTTCTTTTGCTGTTATCATTACTGCTGCTATCTAGCAGTTAGGTACCTAGGTAATAGAATTCACAATGTTCCATATGAAATCATGGAACTTCCAATTTTTTTTTTAAATGATGGGAATTTGTTGGTCAAGTACAAAAAATAATGTGAGATGATAGGTGCTTTTCTTTTTTTTGAATTGCAAGAGTGGATAGGTAATGCTGCATTTCGAAGCAGCTGTGTCACAGACATGTGTATCTCCCTTCTGACCCATCTAAATACTAAATTGGGTCATTATCATTTGTAAATGTGTTGAACTTTGCTGAAAATATTTTGTTTTGTTTTGTTTTATTAACTCATAGTTTTGTTTTGGTTTGTGTCCATACTTATGTAATCTTATGTTCTGTTCAGGAAAGTGTCTACTGGTCAATGAACATGAATCCCTATAAATTTGGATTGTCTGGCCCTGGAAGTACATCTTACTATAGTTCTTACGAGGTAAATGGTCATCTGCCAAGAATGGAGATTGATAGGGCTGAGTGGGAATACCCTTCAACAATTACCACTGTGGAACCACCTACAACAGATTCTCCGCCTAGAAGAGATGGAGTCACTAGCATGCAGACCATCCCTGAAGAATGTTAGTGAAAAATTTATTTTCTTTTACTGTAAGCTAAGGCTTGTGGTCATATTGTTGGTTTCTGCTATTTGGTTTTTGTATTTTTATCTTTTTAAGTGCATGCTAACAGAAAATTAGTGTCTTTTGGGGGGGGGGGGTCGGGATGATTGAAACTCATCATTGGAATTACTGTTTTAAATTGCAACTATTCAGAAAAGAGAAAACACGAAAATTTTATTAAATAGAAACTACTATATATATTTTTTAATTGTTTAGGAAATTTATGTGATCATTGTATAGCATATTAACTCTTAAATTTCTTTTGCAGGCAGTCCAAATCATCATGAGTCCAATAGTAGTAGCCAGGTAGGAAGCTTTCTTATCAACCGAGCCACTAATTTAGACCATACCTAACTGAATTATGGTTTAATATTCAATCATCTGTCCCTGGTTGGAACACTGGGTCCCCTATGCTTAAAAATTGGGAGACATTATTTCAATGATAGTTTGGTGTACATATCATACTTTAATGATAATTTGTAATCTATCCACTGCACACTTTTTTGGGATACTTAAACACTTTTATTAGTATATTTTGGTCAAAATGAATATTACTAAATATAACTTAGGCCCCTTGGCATAGTCCATGGTTTCAGTTTTTGCAATTAACTTGTTTAAACTTTCAATAAGTGAAATAATCCATGTAGTTTTAACTGTGGAAAATTGTCTGCCTATACTTTCAGTGTGACAAACAACAATAACCTTATTTAGGTAGGTGAGGTTGACTACATGGATTATGCAATATCATTGAGCTCTCAATGTGGCAGACAACCCCTGTAATTTTAATTTTGGCAAATAGTTTGCCTAAACTTGAAATTAGTGGGTAGTAATCATTTTGGGTTTAATTTTGAGATTTAATTACAACTTACAGGGGATCATTTGTCATAAGTTGAAAGCCTTACTGTGTTAATAACCAACGAAAGTTAAAACCACTGCTATGTGCACAACAGTCACAGTTAAACAGGGTGATTTTCAATTTAACCATAAATGTTTAATCCCTAACTTATGTATGGAAAACTGTCTTGTCAGCCTATCAGTAATATCCTTTACTCATGTTTTCCGATACAAAACAGAGTCCAATAGTGGCAAATATGGCAGAACAAGAAAAAATGAGATGCATATTATTAGAATGCTCAAAATTACAGTAGCACTAGCACATTACTGCCCTAGAATAGCTCCTACAGAGAACAAGAGCACTCCATTCATAACAAACTTAATTATTCCCAAGATGGCCCAAATCTCCTGCCAATCTGCTATTTGCCAACATTTTCTCAAATCAGTAACTAATTCTCCCTTCCCCCATTTTCTCCATCCGCTAGCTCGTCACTCTCACCCAATTTGCCCCGGTATTTTGATGTAAACTTTCTAGACCCTAGGACCGATTCCTCCCTTGTCCATGATTTCCTTTGGGTCCTAACATCCTTTACAAAACAGGCATAATGATATTTATATATTGATTTTTCCGAACAACATAAAATCTTATGCTTAATGCTAAGCACCATTGCTTTCATGTGCTTCACATATCGTATCATATGCCTACCCAATGCTGTCTCACTTTGGGTTACTTATCCCATACTTCTGTACAGATGATGTTCAATGATATTGGTAATAGGCAATGGATGGTTTTTGGTTTTTAAGTTATGTTCAGTTTTATAAATATTTTGTGCATATCTGTATGTATACATTGCACCTGTATGTATACATTGCACGTATAGCACACTATCGAATGCAATGTGTCTGATATGTGAATCATTTTTGCCCATGTGGCCTGGAAACAAAAAGGACTTTTGAAATTTAGCATAATTTATTTGTTATTATGATATCCTGTGGACCTTTACCTATGGCTCCTATCTTATATTTCCCTTTTCTAGGTATAGTTATTGATTGTTGATACATATCATCAAATAGTATTTGTAATTTTGTCAACAGTGTTATTTTTGTATTTTTCATACAAAGTTGTTTACATATGTTGGTTTTTAGACTTGGTTTTCTTCCAAAATGGTTTTCATATGAACTGATAATTTATATAGCATATTTTATTTTCATTTAAACCATAATTAGTTTTATGCTTGCTAGAATTGTCCCCAAATAAACGTTTCTTTTATGAGTAAATCGAGTAGATATCAATTGAAAATGGGAGAAATCTTAGAAGATTTTTCCCTTACAACTGGTCCATTACACTGATTTCTCAATACTAACAATTCCTCATGCCTCCCCCTGGACCCCTCCTATTTAAGCCAAGCCCCTGCCTTTCATCCTCTCTCACTACCTAACTAACTGATTGCTATAACTTTTTTCCTTGGTCAATAATTAGTTGTTATAACTAATTTTTGATATTCTACTTTAACTGATCATTAACATTTGGAAATCTCTCATTGGGAATGAATAAAATTTACACATATGACTAGATTTGTTGTTCCTTCTATGATACAAAAAGCAGCAGGGGTTTTGTACCTCTCTTACGCAGGAGCCCATTAATTAGAATTTATTGCATAAAGATGTTATTTGAATCCTATACATAATTTCATGTGCTACCTTGCATAACTGTATTTTTTCTAATAAGCTTGATCAGACTGGGAATTATATTATTTAAAATGAAGGCTTGAAAAAATTTGAGTTGAGAATCGACTTTATCGAGAAAGATTACTTTTTTTAGGTCAAGAGGTTGATAGGGAAATATCGAATCAACTTATTAGTCTTATGATATTTCTGAGCATAGAGAAAGAGAATAAAGATTTGTATCTGTTTATAAATTTTCCGGGGGTGGGTAATACCTGGAATAACTATTTATTTGTACAATCAGATACAGACATGGGATTAGCCGCATCAATGGGATCCTTTCTTTTGGTAGGAGGTACAATTACCAATCGTCTTGTATTCCATCACACATGGTGCCAATGATTCTTTTCTTTGAGAATATATCTATCTGCATTTCAATTGCTTAATGTCAACTAGTTAACCCTTCTGTATATTGTTTCCAACTTGTAAATATATAATCAGAAGCAGAATAAAAATTTATCCTCTGAAGCCTATAATCCTTAGTGTTGCATTGGTGCAGGTCATATGGCAAGACAACATCGATCCTGATAATATGACTTATGAGGTGTGATGCACTAAATGTTTTATGTGTAAATGCTGATGTATGCATGTAGTTTCTTACTTTTAGAATGTTGTTATACTTCTCTTAATCATTGATTATTTATATTAGTTATGTTTTTACTAAGTATCAGATTCAAGTGAATTTATAAATTTAAGATAATAACTGTCAAAAGGGTAAGTGTGTCATGAAGATATTAACTATTAAAAAGTTCAATTTGTTTGGTGAAGACGCATTCATATAAATACGGTCCAGTCCACTACGCAAGCCCTTTAGATACCAATCACCTGATTACTTGGTCATAACTGCCTTGATAATACCTTGTCAAGCACCCACTCAAGATTAAGTTGTTAGGTGAAACCTCATGAATAAAATAGATCCAAAGAACGTCAAATCAAACAGAAATGGTTCTTTTATATGATTATCAAATCTTATATGAATAATTAGTAAGATAAAAAAGGGTGTTGCCTTAATGATTTTGGACTTTTGCATTATAGAAAGTATCCACTTTGTATATGTCTTAATAAATTTTGATGATTGAAGTTAGGCATGGTGGTTTAACTTGTTGCTAATCCGTATTGCAATATTTTGAGCTTTCAAATTTATTGGTATGTTGAGTATAAGTGGAATTAGAGATCATGTGGATCAATAGCCAATGATATTTTGTAAGTGACAGGAACTACTGGACCTGGGGGAGGCAGTTGGGACTCAGAGCCGAGGTCTTTCACAAGAACTTATTGATATGCTTCCAACCTCGAAGTACAAATTTGGTAGCTTATTCAAAAGAAAAAATTCTGGGAAAAGGTGAAGTCCTGGTTCTCAACCATTTTTACAGAATAGATGAAAATATGGTGAATGTAATGTGAAAGAGGATTGGAAATTATAATATTTAATCACAGTCTTTAATCATACCGAAATCAATCTATTGAAATATATATAGGACTAGCGAAGCTAAAAATCAATACATTCTTTATGCCTGTAGCATTTATAAATTTTGTAATTTCCCTTGTTTTCATTAACCTGTAAGTCAATAACCAATGAATAGAGAAAAAAATTTAATCGACCTTGTCCATTTTTTTTTCTTGATTCATTTCCTCTCTTCCCCTACACCCTTGGAAAAATGTATTGATCGATTACTTTGTATTGGACTGTGGTTGATTGTACACAATGTTTCCATAGTCTTAATTACAATGATTAGAGTTCTCTACTTTAAATCCAATTCCCAGAGAATTTGATTCAATATTCTCTAGTTTTATATGTCGGACTAAATTGATCATTGAAGTTTGATGTCATTTTATTATTATTTTTGTTATTATTATTTTCTTTTTCTGGTTCATTAGGACTTTTGCCTGCCAGATTTATGATAGATAAATCATATTTGTAAAACAAATTGCATAACATTTTACAACTGAGAAAAGTTTGAAATGTAATAAATGATATGATGGAAAGAGAGACACAACATTATGCAAAAATTGTTGTCACATTTGTTTAGGATATCTGTCTTACCTTTTTCCTGGTTTTGGGATCTCCCGCTTTATTTTCTACTTTCAGGATATGCTGACAATAAATTGCATTGATAACAGGTGTGTAATTTGTCAGATGACATACAGAAGAGGTGACCAACAAATGAAATTGCCATGCAGCCATATGTATCACGGTGAATGCATCACCAAGTGGCTCAGTATTAACAAGGTACTTACAATTTTAAATCCATTGTTCTTCTCAAGTTCGCTTGAATCCTATGTCTTTACCATTTGCTGTCTTATTTTCAGAAATGTCCTGTGTGCAACACTGAGGTTTTTGGAGAGGAATCAACGCAGTAGCATCAAGATGGCAAAAGGGATCTTTTTGTCTATTAATTTTTGCTTCTCATCCAACTTTCTGTGTCTCTTTAAGTTTTCATTTCTTACACGTAGGTAGGTGTAATATGAAGAACTATGGCAGCTCTCACACAATGTTTTGTTTACTAGAAACAACCTTAATGGAGACTCATCTTCTTGTGGTTAATGTGTGATTTTGTGTGTATTCATGCAATTTATTATTCTCTTTAAGCTTTGTGTCCCTTCCTTTGGTATTTGGACTTGGAAAATTTGTTTCCTATCATTGATCGAATGTGTTAGGATTCAAGAATAAGAAATCTCACGAGCATGCTTAATGGAGTGAGGAATGAAATACTTGTGTGGAATGTTCAGGGGATGTGGCGTTTTTAATTTGAGAAACTTCAAAATTCGATTGACAAAGAATTAACATTATTTTTAATACTAAATCTTCTTTTTTAATGAAAAAAATAAAAGCTTTCTATGATTTTAATTAAATCTCTTTTTTTTTTAATTAGTATTTTCTTTATCAAATATTGAAGACTATTATTTTTTTAAGTGAACCATTAGAATTGTTGATTTATTGATAAAGAAAATAGTTTGCAAGTGAAGTTCTAATATCAATGTACTTTTACAAAAAATAATATATAAAAAAAATCTATATGAAAGAGGATTTTTTTTTTCAATGGGGACAAATTAAGTTCATTATTTTTTTTATGGAGCATCTAAACCCATTTACACTAAAAAGCATCATGACATATAATTAGTGTCATGAAATATTTATGATGTAAGAAATTGTGAAGTAATTTTGAATTTATATTGTATAGTTCTGATTGTAATTTTTATCGTACTTGCAATCAATAATATATTGAGATCTTTAATTTTAAGACAATAAAATAGTAATTAAATGTATTAACAATGATAAAGTTAAGATAAGAAGAATATTTAAGTAAATTAAGTATAGAGATTAACACATATAATCTAAAATCCTTTAAACATGATTTCAAAGATGGTGTTCATTACTTAGTCTAAGTATATATATATATATATATATATATATATATATATATATATATATAATTTAATCTAAAACACTAAAATATATTATTTCATATTATTATAATAGAAAAATACTTAAATTCATAAGTATAAACAAAAAATACACAAGGTATAATCATGATGAAATTTTTAATAAATATGAACAATTAGATATATAATGTTCTTTGATTAAATAACCTGATTATTTATATAATTATATATCTAATTAAAGAATGGAAATTAAATTAAAATTATTATAATGTCTTAAATTTTAATTTATTACTTTTTAAAAAAATTTAAAATATTACTTATATTAAATTCATCTAAATATAAATAATAAACAAAAATATTAATAGAATACATAAAATATATTAATTATTTATTAAATGTTATAAAATTTCTAAGACAAGATAGATAAAAGATAAAATAATATATTTTTAAATTTTTATCGTATTAAGTTAGAACCTTATGTTTTACCAACTTAACCATTTAGGAATGAAAGTCTTTCATATTTATGTATATTATGATAATATTAATATAATTTATTATTATATATAAAGTGCTTTGACATTCTAATCCATTATATTTTGTTTTTAAAAACATATTGGGAAAAAAATTGTATTCTTACCCATTAATAATAAATGATGTTAAGAGGGTGAAGGGGAAGAGTTATAATTGTGTTTTGGGTGTTAAAAGATGTTCTTAAAAACAAAATTTACTGCGTTAAAGTTGGTTAGTTAAATACTAAGTGAGTGTCCCAATTTTATAAATTTGGAAGGAAAAAGTGTTTGAAATATTTTTTTTTATAATCAATGTCATGTCAGACTCTGCTTTAAAGCTTCGAAGTTGTATGGTAAATTTATTTATTTTTTTACTAGAAGTGAGTCATGATTAATTGAGAAAAAATGTACTATAAATTAATGTGATCTTAAATTCAAAACGTTGTGTCATTTGAACCTTAAAAGTAGAATGAAATATGGAGAATAAAAATCAAAACTTTGGTGTCATGGACACAGCACACGTAAATGAGTGCCAAACAAGGAATAATAATCTGTGGGCTAATTTGTCGTTTAGCAGGTTCCTTGCAAAACCCAAATCCATGTTCTGAAAGAAACCGCAATCCGCAGGATCCAAGGAAATAATTTGTATCTTTTATACTCTACAAAAAATGTCAGTGTTCTTCTTCAAATTCTTACAAATTTTAAACAGAAACTAAAAAACACAATTAGTCAGAAAATTTAATAAAAGATAGTTAATTTTAGAAAAATTATTTATTAATAAAATTTGATAAATATTTATATTAGTAATATGATTTATAAAGAAAATATTTTTCCTTTTTAACTTATTCAGATCTTTTTTATCATAACATTTAATTTGAAGTGTTAAGTAATTGTTAAAATACTTTTTATACATGTTGCGATTTACTTTAAATTCAGAAATATTATTTTTCTTTAATAATATGCATAAAAAACTTCAATATAAATATTTTATCAAATGATTATGGTGTAAATACTATTTTTTAAATTATTTAACCAATAATAATAAAATAAAAATATTAAATAGTATATTTTAAGATTAAACAACTGATAGAAACATCACTAAGAAGGTTTAGTTCAATCATTATTAGTGCAACTAACGAAACAGAAAGTTTATGCTGTGAAGTTTTTTTAGTTTGAAATATTAATTAAGAAAATTGAGTTGGTAGGAATTATTAATTGAAAACTTTAAATATGTCAAACAAAAAACCTAAAAAAAAATAAAAAAATTGGCATTTTTAAGGTCATAAAAATTTAAATAATTTATCCCAAGTTTCAATTTTTACTCATTTATTGACTAGGTTAAACATGTTTTTCAGACATATTTGTGTTTTAGCTCGTACTATTTTTCTATTTTATGTTTAATGCCTTTTTTATAATTTAAAATACTAATTTTAACTGTTTTAAAAATAAAGGAAAAAGTAATATTAAAAACCAAAAATAATTATAATAATATATCATAAGACATATTTGAAAGTAAATGTAAATATAGATCTTACTTAGAAACTTCCTTCATTAAAAAAAATAATATCACTACTCTTTTTCTATGAATTGAAACATCCTCTTTTTTTTTTCTTTTTTCTAAATTTTGATGTAAACATAATAAATATATATTACTAACACATTCTTGCTTATTTTTAAGAAAATTATATTCCCATGAATTATGATTTAAGAGTTTTATTAATGTATATATTTAAAAGTGTAAGTTATAAAATATTTCTTAAAAAAGTAAGCAAATGCGTATCTGACATTTTTAGATAGTTACATACTCTTACATTAAAAATATTATTATAATTCACTTATTTTGAAAATTATAATAATACATCCATTAAAAAAACATATAGAAAAGTATACATATTAAAAAATTATGATAAAAATATTTATTATTCTTTTGACTACTATTAGTTATTCTTTAAAAACCAAAGCTTTTGATGTTGTTAATGTATGTTAAATGTAATCTAATTTAATGTAGTAAATGATATATAGCTTATTTTAACATTGTTGAAAATTTAAAAGTAATTATTTTATACAAAGTAAAATTTTTTATATGAGCATCATCAAGAACCATATACAGAAAACTGTCACGGAAAAGTCCAAAACTGTCAAAATCTCACAGGAAAGAACATCCCCTCGAACATTTTTTATTTGTTTTTCTCAAAGAGATAAACCCTAAACTAAACCCACATGCTCCATGGAAAGAAAGATAAGGACAATTATAGGTTGTTTGATTTGGGAAAATTGATCGGATCTTCTTGTATGCATGTCTACAAGTGGGAAAACATGATTAGGAGATAAACTTTAACCAGCTTTTATACCACTTTGTAATTAGAGTTGAACTTTTATTTTGATAACATGTGAAATTAAAATTTATATAAAAAAATATATTCATATTTATTTCTCTTTTACAATGTCAAGCAATGTTGTGAACTCCATTAGTAAAGACAATTTTATAGCATACATTCACAAGTAAAAGAAGAGTTTTTTTTTAATATTTACTAAAAAACAAGTTTTTTTTTGTCTCATTTTTCCTTACCCATTTCTCTTATTATGTTACATCTATCATTTATTTTTGGAGCTTCCAATTTTTAATAAAAATAACAATATATTGAAACAAAATTGTCATTTTTCTCAAAACATTAAAATTTTTATAAAGTACACCACTTTGCCATTTTCCACCGGCTTTTAGTACATTGCCAAGTGGCACAACCTTCGTGGTCCAAACATTAGAATGAGGATTAGGATCGAACTAACGAAAACAAATTCGAAAAACACATCTATCGTTCATTAATATTCACAATGATAATAGTTACAACTATATTAATTTCAACCCAATTTTATCAATGATTAAAATTTATTCAAAATACAAAATGAGTGAATATGAAACCCGCTAAATTTATTTAAAAACACGTGTTTTCCTATTTTAATGACCTAAAAACATGTGATGGAGAATGCATTTATGCAGTTTTTTTAACTAAATAAAACCAGTTGGGAACAATCCCAGAAAATTACAAGGTGTGATAAGAATGAACAGAAAGCGCCTCATAATGTCAAAAACAACTCATAAATTACAACGACAATCCGTGGCAAAACCAAAACTGCTGAAGAACAAACCCATAGGACCGTACAAGATTTATTGCAGATTGGAAATCGATGTCTAAAGAACCACAAAAAGGGTCCAAGAAAAAGAAAAGAAAAAAAAGGGGGAAAAACATTTACAGCAACATGTGTTCCTTCAATTCATGAAATTTTTGACAAATCTACCTTGTGTTGTTGTTGCAGAGCATGAAATTCAACATCCTAGACCAAGCACCTCTTAGGCGAGGGTAAACCCTGCTCCTGTAACTTCTTGATTCTCTGACAACATATTCCATTGTTTCCACAAACAGATTGAAGCTTCTGATCGGTGGGACATAAAGGGTCAGAGGAACAGTAGAGAAAGCCACTGTGAAGAACAACTGCAACATTTCTTCCTCTTCTTTCTCTAATTCTTTTACGACCCCTTTTGCAGGAGGATGTAAAGGTGGATGCTTTGGATTCAGAAGGGAAAAGGGTGTTTGGAATTGGGTCTTGTTTGAGTTTCTGAAACTTGTCTATAGGTATGGTAAGAAGAAAGAAAGAAAGATGTTTGACTAATAAAAGATGAAAGAGAGAGCGAGAGACTTCTGGAAACTCAATGAAGATTGAAGCAGCATAAACTCCAGAATGCTATATATACTATGGTAAGTTTTTTTATTTTTTATTATTTTTTTAATCTACATATTATTATGGTAAGTGGATTAAGTAATTGTAGAAGTTAACCTGAGAAAGATAAATATGGATTTGAGGATATTTCCAGATTTCATTGAATTACTCGTAATGGAAAAAATTATTATATTTCTTATTACTATAATTAGATATTTAGTACGAGATTATGACTAAATTAGACATGTGTCAGACCTGAATACATGTGTATTATTTAATTTGAGATGATGGGTAGGTCAGAACAAGTGTCAGTTCATCACGTATATGGTGATGAAAAAAAGTTAATTATTTCTTTTCTTTTAATTATTTTATCATTAATTGTTTCTTTTTCAAACTTATCTCATAAGTAAAATATATATATATATATATATATATATATATATATATATATATATATATATTATCAATCAGTGGAAATTATGTGATAGTTTTAATCCTCAAGTGATAGCAGTATTATAGTTTTTGTGATCGGAATATATTAAGTAAGATCGTAAAAAAATATTTGTAATAATCTCCGTTCTGAAATTATTTTCAGAATTTATATATTATAAAACATAATAAAATAAATACACATCATCTATAGTTTTATTAAAAAAAAAAACACTATGATTACTTACAAATCTCAATAAGTTAGATCTATTATTGTTATGGCAATGGCAACATGTTCCGTATTGCTGGTGTAGAATTATTCACATATTCCTTAATCACTTTGGAAATCAATTTTTTTCTCTCTAATAATGTGCTTTGTAATATGATTATGAATCCAATAATAATAATTCTATTGTAGATAACCCATATATATCACATATTTTTTATACTTCTAAACACCAATTTATTTCTAAGCAAAGTAAAAATAAATTTACTTTTGAATATTTTTTGAAGTTATAACATATTAAGTTTAGAGAATAAAAAAAAAAAAAAAAAATAATATATATATATATCATATATATATATATATATATATATATGAAACAGAGAAAAAAAGAAATTGATATCAAATTTGTGGCTGAAAGTTGGTATGAAAAGGGTTCACGTGTAAACACACATGAATGGTGACGTGTCACACATAACACGAAAGAGGGCTTTGTAGCCGCTAATCATTGCAAGTTTTCCAGATTTGTCTGTGGATACAACCACAACTTTAATTACTCGACAATAATTTGTTTCCTTTTCCTACAAATTCAATTTTTAGAATTATTTTTATCAAATTATTATTCTTTTCAAAAATTTGCACATAGGAAAACAATAATTTTACTTTTCAAAAATTAAGAATTTGTTGTACACACAGGGTGGTGTAGGATGTTCTAAAATCAACCCCGATTATTATTCTCACAACAATAACCAACATTCCAATATTTATAAAAATTCAAAAAAACATATTTTTCAATTATGATATTGTATTAAAAATTCAATTTTTATAAAATGAAATGAAAATCATATAATGTAAATTTACATAAAAATTGGGACAAAATACTTGTCAAATTTTTAAGATAATTTTGATGTCAATTGGGCCGAAGCATGTGTGGTAGGTGTGTTAGGATCGAGCGCTTTCCACTGCGCCAAAAGCATATAGCCATTAATCGTAGCCGCTAACTCTTTTACTTTAACTGACTTCAAACGCCACGATTCAATTGCGACTGCACCACCTCGACCTTCGTCACGAGACAATTGATGCTACCTGCAACAATCTCCCCTCAGCAATTGTCCTACAAGGTATCCCACTCTTGGATTGTGACTTGGCCCACCCGGCCTCGCCACGAGACAATTGTGCAACTCCGCAACAATCTCCCCCTCAACAATTGCCCACCAGGAATCGAACTCGTGACCTTGGCTCGATACCAATTGTTAGGATCGAGCGCTTACCACTAGGCCAAAAGCTATAGCCAATTAGTCGAGCGCAACTCTTTTACTTTAATGATTTCAAGCACCACGATTCAATTGTGACTCGGCCCACCTGACCTTCGTCACAGGACAATTGATGCTACCTGCAACATGGTGGACTTTGTTATTAACAGTGAAAATTTGTTCAGTTCAATTCATAGCCGTGATATTTTGTCTGTGATCATTCTATGCTGCCAACTTTTGGGTGTGGCATAAGATCTCTGAGATGATTCAAGACACTAAAAGATGTGTGTTTCAGGAATTTTCCTGAGTGCAAGACATTTACACAATTGATGTTAATTAGTCTATACTTAATTTGATCTGCTCTCAAATAGGAAGAGATAAAACAAGAGTAGATAATAAAGAACATGATTTTCAAAAGCTCTAGTGTGATGTGTTTGATTCTTGATCTAAGTTAGCACCATAATATACAGTTTTTTTTTTTTTTTGTGGTTTGTGCTACCAAATACACTCTTCCTTGGTCCCAACATAATTTTTTTAATAGAAGGAGATTGGAATTTAACATGCTCGGAATTTGAATGGCTGAAATTCAGTGATGAGCTTCTTTATGCACACTTGATTCTCTTGTCCCCTTCGTGATGATTGAATCCATAAACATACTAACAAAAGCTGGAATAGACAAAGCAGAAAAATAAAAGAACAATTAGATTCTGTACCTAGACATTTTCCTGTTTAAAACTGATAAGCCTCAACCTTCTATGCTCATGTGTCTTCTATTTTGAGCACTTTCACCTTTTAGATGATGATTTGTGTTCAAGTACTACCACTTTTCTGCACTATGCATTTGCTAACACATTCTTATAATGGGGTATAAGTTGTGAAGTAGAATCCCCAGATGAGTTGTTTTTTCTTGTCTTTGTAACAAAGTAGATGTTGCTTGGCACACCCTCATAAGCATGAGCACTTTCTTTTCAGTTTTGGTTTTGTTTCCAACGTAGCCCTCTTCATTCCATGACAGCTGTGGATGCAGAAAATGATGCCTTTGAACCATTTGAGTAGCTTCAGAGATTTCTGCTTCACTTTTTCTCAGAAAATTGTGGCAGTCCCTGTCACAATAGAAATTGGGGAGTGTGAATAAACTATATTGCCCTTGGAACTGACAAAGAATTCCAATGTGTGTATCTATTTGGTTTTGGATTGGACAATGACTGAGATTGATGACACTGCTCGATGAGAAGGATTATTTTTATGATTCATGAAACTTTTCTGTGGAAAATGTTAGGTAATGGAAAGGGAATCACCCTGAGATATACCATGACAGCTACGAAGAAAATGATGGATGTGTTCATCTTTTTATCCGTAAGGGTTGAATGATTTCATGGAACGGTTCATGTTAATTGTTATGCATATTATTCTTAAATTCAAGTTTTAGATGGGAACCTTTTTCTGGATAAAAACAAGATCAATTTAGATGAAAAAATAAGGTCCTGGCATTAACTGTTAAAAGCCAAACTTTTTGCCAACGTTTTGTAAAGCATGCTATGGATATTCACATAGAAACATAGAACCAGATTATTAGAAAAGAGAAAAACAGACATAAATTAATAAAATTAGGGACAATATATAAGAGAGACAAAAATTCATGCATATTAGTTATTATGGATAAGAAACACCAACATGGTATGGTTAATATTGGTAGTTAGCCATGTTCTTTTGAGCATGTTCAGGTGTTCAATAAGTTTGTATGTATAGAAAAACATGTTAGAAGAGATTAATCTCTTAAATGAATTTCCATGCCATGAAGGTTGAGTTTCTGACTCTTGATATGCTGCTTGAGGGAAAAAAACAGAGATAAACGGATTTACAGTCCTAAAATAGTAAGTAAAAGTCTTTTGAAACAACCAGATTTTAACCATATAACTATGTTATCTTAAGTTTCAAAAGATAGTACTCTGATTGATGTAATTAACTACTGAGTTATGGTACATTCATCTGGTCAGTTGTGCAACAACCAACTTTTGATTAGGAGTTTTCGTTTACTTTAAAGTAGTTTAACATAATTATAACTATCGTACATCCTTAATTAGAGAGTTAAACTGAATTGTACACATTGCAAGTGATAGTTTTTGTACTTTAGGTCCCAAAAGCCATGTTAAGTCATTGATGAAGCCGTAATTTCTAATGTATGGCAGTGGTAACAATATGCCAAAAAAGGAAGAAAATAAAAGATAAAAAATGGTGTTGCTTGGTTGGAGGTGCACATAATTTGCTTAAGAAATATGCCAATACAGTGGTTAGCCCTTTTGAAATTCATGCACAGAATGTAAGCTACACACAATGATAAAAGAACATGAAAATTAACAAACAGATGTCAAGCGTGCAACAATATGGTATTAAATTAAATCCCAAAAGTAGCATAGTCATCATCTCCATCTGGTCTCAACACACGTGAATTTGAAGTCTAAAACCAAGAGAGAGAGAGTATTATGTGAAGTGGAAGCAAAAAATTTTGAGCTTCATAAGAATAGACGTTGATGATTACCTTGTGAGTGAAGTAAAACATATGGAAACAAAAAACAGGAATTGAGTCAAAGACAAGAAGACCAACCATCCCTCTCTTTTGTTTCTTTGATCACTCTCTCTTTTGTGTTGGGGAGGTCCCCCTCCAATCCGTTTTCCACTCTACCCATCAACCAACAAACACAATCCCTCTTCTCTCTCTCATGCATATTCATATTTTAAGCAAACTCCACAACCATCACTATCATCATCACCATTTCCCACCCTATGAAGCCTTTTATCTGTCCCTCATAAATATTATTCACCTATATAGACCTCTATCATATCACACTCAAAAACAAGAAAAACACACACATTGCGCATAGCTTTGCGATCATTCCACAGGCATTATTTAGTCTGTAGGCAAATGAGGAAACCTGATCTGATGGCCAACAAGGACAAAATGAACCACATTAAGAGCAAGTTGAGAAAAGGGTTGTGGTCACCTGATGAAGATGAGAAGCTCATAAGGTACATGCTCACAAATGGACAAGGGTGTTGGAGCGACATTGCAAGAAATGCTGGTCTCCAAAGGTGTGGCAAAAGTTGCCGTCTTCGTTGGATTAATTACTTAAGACCTGACCTCAAGCGCGGTGCATTCTCACCCCAAGAGGAAGACCTCATCTTTCATTTGCATTCTATTCTTGGTAACAGGTACTCTATCTATCCCTTTTCACCTTGTGCTCAAGTTCTTGCCAATATCATGTTTAACATATCTATATATATGATCTACTATTACGAATAAACTGCAATGTATTCTATTAAGAAGAAACAAATAGATGTATTGTCAGTGAAGATCTATTAACTTGTATATAGGCTATCCTCTGTAGGTAGGCTTCTAAACTCTGAGTAGTAAAAATACCGTGGATAGAATAGATATTGAGATCATGAAAGAATGGATTGTATTGGATTGAGTGGTTTATGAGGCTAGTAATTGTAGGGAGGAAATGAAAACCAGAAACAAGTGAAAAAACGTGATAAAGTTTTTGTAATTATTGGTAAAAACATGGAACAAAAACAACAATATTTGATTCTTGGATTATTGTGTTACCTTATTGTATAGACAATGATAATTTTGAGTTTCTGAAATATGTAGACAGACTAGTTTGGCACATTGAGTCAAGATATTCAACTCTTTTGCATAGATTAATGCCAAATGGGGTTACCTGATAGCATGTCACAGTTTTCACCTATCTAGCTAGGTCCTGCTTTCTATTAAATTAAGAATGGCCTATAATATATTACCTATTCTGTGGTTTAAAAAACATTGTTAAGCCAGCATGAATAATTAAATATTAGAACTCTATGTATATGTAGTGTACAAGAGTATATATATTTGCTTTTCCTTTTTCTCTTCTCCTTAATCTCTTCAATTTTATAAATCTCAGGTGGTCTCAGATTGCAGCACGTCTCCCTGGTCGCACAGACAATGAGATAAAGAATTTTTGGAACTCAACATTAAAGAAAAGGATGAAAACCAACACTTCTACTCCCTCCCGAAACAACAGCACTGACTCGTCAGAGTCTAAAGATGTTTTGAGCGGGATCGTCCCATTTAATGAACATGACATCTTGACCATGTGCATGGATTCCTCTTCATCCATATCATCCATGCAAGCAATGGTTTTGCCTGACCAATTTGACCCTTTTTCCATGTTGGTAAATAATCAGAGTGACATGACTAATGTTTCAGCAGATTTTCCCAACATGCCTACTTCATGCATGACACAAATTGGCATGGTAGATGGGCACCAAGGGAAATATGGGACATTGGAGCCAAATAACAAAATGGGGTTAGGAAGAGACTTCTCCCTTCCTTCACTAGAAAGTAGAAGAAGCATTGAAAGCGATAGTGTTCCAATTGATGTGAAAAGCCATAACAACCACTTCAATTATGGTTCCTTCAACAACACTGATAAGATTCAAGGCTCCAAAGTGGAGGACTTAATTGGGTTTGGAAATCATGGCCAAGGAGAATTTTTTTTGGAGAATTTGATGCAAGACATAACCTCTTTTCCTTTCCTTGATTTTTAAGTTGATCAAGAGCCCTTCTTTGGAGCTCCCTTCCTCTATTGGATCTCTCTCTTCTTCCTCTCCTCTTGCCACTTTCCCTCTTACATGTCCACCACATACTTTCTTTCTATCTCTTCAGAAATTAATCTCTCCAAATATGGAGATCCATTCAAGGAATTATCATCTCCCAGGCAATGATTTTTCATACACACAAACCTTAGACTACATTATAGCTATCCAAAAAGACAACACAAAGGTCACCTTAGGAAACTTTAGGCATCCATAATTTTTCCCTATTCAATCCTTTCATACTTTTGTTTCTTGCATCCTGTTTTTCCCAATTGTTGATTTCTTATCATCCATTTGCAAATAATGCACACTCCAATATCATCCGAGGGTCTTAGGCATGTAGTTGTGTAATGAAAATACAGATTAGCCAGGAGTTCCTGGTGTTGTTTGTGCTCCTGCTGTGGTTTGTTTGTGAAGCACTCTGTGTCAGGGAATAGGTTGATGTAATAGTCAAAGTAACCCTTTCATGAAGAGAAATAGGGTGATTTACAAAGTCAACAGAGGAATAAAGATTAGTTGAGTTGAATGTAGCAATGTGTATAACTAAAGAAATGATGTGGAAGTTGTTAGCTAGTGTAAGGTAGATGTAAAGTGATGTACACAGTGATTTATACACGTCAACATGTAGCAACTTTGAAATTAGTTCATCTCTTTTATGTTTCTCCTTTTATCTACCCTCTCACCTTTCTTTTCTTTTTATAAATAAATTACCTAACTCTCTATTTAGTACAAGAAAATAAAATTATAGCCGGAATCATATAAATTTTTAAACCATGAAGCTTGGTATTATAATTATAATATTAAAAATGATTAAATTGGTTATTGACAAATATTGTGAAGAATATTTATGTAGATTTATCAAAGTCAAGACAAAATGGGATAGATACCTACAAATTTATATTTAATTCTCATTCTAATCTTATATTTGCAAGACTCACTTCACTTGCAAATAATATGTTTTCTAATGAGGGGTTTGTGTGGAGAAAATATTAATTAGGTTGAATTTTAGGATTTAAGAGTTTCTGTTGATGTTACAATTTCTTGTCACTCTTTCAGGATTAGGTTAAATAAAAACTTTATAAATATAGAAAAAGAAAATGTATTACTTTAAATTGTTGGATAACTATTGGGTGTGTATGAACAATACGTAGAGTTGTTCTAGTAGTTTTATTAGTTTGAATCTTTAGGTAGTTATATTAAATATTCAGATGACAAATTTGGAATCTACGAAAGTTTGATCCAATTCAGAAAAGAATTCTGTTCTATAGAAATACATTTTGGGAGTTTTTCTTTCAACACCTCTACTCATATTAAAATGAACTTTTTTGCAAAGAAAAAATCTTTCCCACGTCTAACATTTTTAGATATTTAATAAATAATCTTTTATTAATAAAAAATAATAAAATAAAATAGTTAAATAATAATATAAAAATATAGAAGTGATGGTTGAATGAAGGTTAGAAAATGATTATATATATATATATATATATATATATATATATAATAATAATTCTTGATGTACTTTTATATTTCTAAAACATCTATTAAAAAAATTAAAAAGAATACCCGAAAAACATCTATTAAAATTTTTTTAAAAAATAGATAACAAAATTGAAAACTAAAATTAACTTTGTGTCTGGAGATTGGTGGTCAATTTATTATGAACTTAAGTTTTAGAAAAAAAAAAAAGAAGGAAGAAGAAACACTATTACAAATAAGGTTTTCACATCAGTCTTAGAAGGTCTTCAACTATGGTTCTATAATTGACGTTGTATCTGCGACGTTGAAAATATGGACTTTCAATGTCGGTTCTATATAATCGACGTTATATATATTATAAAACAACGTCGGTTAATATAAATGACGTTAAAAAGGATCCATAATCGACTTATAACGTCGGTTGTCAAAACCGACATGAAAAGTATTTAAAAAACCATATCGGTTGGCCAAACCGACGTAGAAACACTAACTCTTAAGAAAAAAAAATGCACGTGGGTTTTAACGTCAGTTATGGTACAAACCAACATTGATTGTATAACTTTCTACGTCGGTTATGGAAACAACTGATGTAAAAAGTCTATCTTTTTTTTAAATCCCTGCTTTGTTTATACAGGGCCTCCCAATGTTGTATACAATGTACCTGCAAATTTAAATACAACCCAGGCAGACAATATACAAGATACAAAGTAATTAAATGTGCATTCAAAATTACAAAGTATAATAATTGAATGTGTATCCAACTACATTTATCTAACAAATACACTAACTACTAATCTAACTATTAATCTAACTACTAAACTAACTACTAATCTAACTACTAAAACTAGTAAATTAATAACTAAACTTGCCTACTTCTAACTTCAAGAAACTTTTCGGCCCAGGTCTTTCTAATATCTTCTATGGTCTTTATGGGTAACACTTCTCTGTCTGAAAATACTTGTTACAAGAAAATAATATAATTTAACAGAGTATCCAATGACACAATTTTAAATTTAATTGAATACTAAATTTAAGCTAACCTGATTCCATGTATCCTCAGTCTTGCTAACAACAATTAGCCACATCCAGTGCATAACATAATATCTGCACTCATAAGATCTTGGTTGCCTATTACACTAGAAAAAATAATGTATTAATTTCAGATATAAAATGAATCATATAATACATAAATATAGAATGACTTACATTAACAAAAATCCAATTTGGATTTGTGCTTTTGCTTGTGTGTACTCCATCGACTGTATTGCAAACCTTAAATGCATTGTGCAATACAAATTATAATGAAATAATTAAGTAACAAAACGACTAATAAATGTGTAAATTATTATAAGAATGTGTACCTGTTTACAATGTATTTAATATCTGCATCAGGTCTCTTGTCCAATGAGCAGAACCAAGCCACAACATTCTCCTTTGGGCAAACAACCAGTAGCTGCCAATGATGTCTGGTAACATTACAAAAAGTTAGAATACATAGAATACATTATAAAAGTTAATGTGAATAATTTCATACGCTTAAATACTTACTGATATAAGTAAGCACCCAAGTAAACTTTCTTCCTTGACTTGATCATCCAATTCTAGATGTATATTTGAGCTTCTTCTCTCTTGTTTCCTGATTTTTATATGCATTGGGGCTCAAAAACTCCATACACATGTGTCGCCGCCGTAAAAAAGAGGCGGTCGGAGCGACGCGATGGTTCCGACTTTTCCAATTTTCGCGTTTTTATGGGTGATGTTACAACGCCTTTAGGTTATCCGATAACCGGGCTGAACCTAGAGGCGAGGTTTTCGAAAGGGCATTCTTGGATTGTCCGATAACCGGGCTAACCCAAGAACTAATTTGAAGGGGTTCTTATGGAGTCACCACTGATGTTTTTACCGAAAACATCGAAAAAGGAGTAAAAAAAAGGCGTTGGTTTTTGAAAACCAAGTCGTTAAAACCAGAGTTTAGGTAAGAGAGTTAGTTACGTGTAAGGGAAGTGTTAGTTCCCTTATGATGCCCCTTTCGGGTTCCCTATGATAGGCCAACTATTTAATAAATAAACTTGTGAAAAGACGCTTTTACCCTTTTATTTACGGAATTAAAGTAACGACTACATGACCCTAATATCTATTACGCAATTTTAATTATAAAAGGCGGTAAAAGAGAGGGAAAGAGTGAAGAAACCTCCGAAGCAAGCTTTTTAATTAATTCTCTAAAAATTAGGGTGCGTTTTGACAGCCCTTCGCTCTTTACAACGCCGGAAAACTCTCGGAAACGCTATAAAAACTCTAAAAAACTCTCAGAAACTCCGGAAATGCTTCAGAGGGGTTCTAGGAAGAGAATTTGAAGAAGTTGTAGGAGGGAAAGTGGAAGAACTGTGTGAAATGAAGGGGGGAGCACTCAATATTTATAGAGATTCGCGCCTGTCAGGTCGAGACGGCTGTCTCGCCATTCGGGACGGCGGTCTCGACTTGTAATAGTGGCGAGACCGCCGTCTCGTTTGGCAAGACGGAGGTATCGACTTTCTCAGAAACGAGAAGGCCTTCTCGCCAATCGGGAGGGGGGGTCTCGCCATTCGCAAGTGGCGACACGACCGTCTCGCCAAACGAGATGGCAGTCTCGACTTGCTGAAATGGCGAGATGGCGGTCCCGAAAAGCGAGATGGCGGTCTCGATCCTTGAAGGCGAAAATCCTTATTTTAATGCAGAAAATCCTTCCTATCCTAGTATGGGGCCTAATAGTCTCTCCTCATGGCTTCTTAGGCTTCATCCATCTTTGAAAAGGAGGTCTTCTGGTCTTATTTATGAGGCCGGACAAGATTTGGGGTCTACAGCTACCCCCTCTTTACCTGACCAGTCGACTGTTGGCCTGTCGTGCTAAGAAGATCGACTGGAGGGTAAAGGAGTTGCCCCTCTTGCCCGGTTACCCTTTGGACGTCCCGTCTTGCGGCGGTTGATCTTCTGGGGAAAAGTGTGTTGTGCGCCTCCAGGATGCTCCTTCTGACGGTAGCTGATCCCTTCGGTTGATGAGTATGAACCCCCCATCTGGTTTGACGAGTATAAACCCCCGCCTGGTAAGCCCTCTTTTGTAAGGCCTGATGAGTACACACCCCCATCTGGTGTTTGACGAGTATGAGCCCCCGTCTGGTAAGCCCTCTTTTGTAAGGCCTGATGAGTACACACCCCTATTTGGTGTTTGACGAGTATGAACTCTCGTTTGGTAAGCCCCTTTTTGTAAGGCCTGATGAGTACACACCCTCATCTGGTGAAGTGCCTCCAGATGCTCCTTCTTGCGGTAGCTGACCCTTTGGCTGTGGTGGCGGCTTACTACTCCAGCTCATGCGCCGAGAGTTAAGATGCGTTCTCTTGCCTTAGTGTTTTGTCTTTTCTAGAAATGGTCGTCCGGTCTGTGTCAGGGACTTTGTTGGTGTTCATCCAGCTTGTTGGTTGTTGGGGATTCTTTGATT